TGAACTGGAAAGTGACCTGAGATGACATGATGTGAATTGGAGCTATAGAAATACACTGAATAGAATTGAACTGATGGTCTCCAGATCAAAGTCAGGCCCCACAGGAATGTAATGATGGAGTTTCATAATGACAGGAGCTAAGAGAAGCAAACATGGAGGATGTGGAACCTGATTTTTAGGAGTTAAGTAAGTTTCATACAAAACTGGTGTAAAAAGTGTGAGAACTTTATTCAGAAAAATATTTATAGATCATCAACTGAACAATAAAAGTGGAACATCTATAGAATCAGCAGCCAGAGGTCATCTATGTAGAAACGCTTCAAATTAGACGATAAATTACAATTTTTAATGGCCTTAAATTTTGAATCCAAAGAAAATAACAAAGATCTGAACCAACTTCCTGTTTGGATTATTAAAATGGCGGCGTTCTGCCTTTATTGGGGGGGGGGGACGTTGTCACTACCCGATCCGTCCTGGAAACACCGTCCAGCGCATAAAATCCAGATTGCGTTATTACGACGTTATTAACGACATAATAACGATACTGAAAATACTTATTTATATACTTAAAACGTTAAAGAATGCTAAACTACATTGTAAAGAAAATACTGAAGACTTTTCTGGAAGAAATTAATGTGTTTTGTTTTTGTGACGTCATCATCGGACACGCTCAGCGCAGTCACGGTAACCTTCCAAAGGCTTTTTTGGTGTATTGCTTGTTTTTGTTTTTAGAATATGCAATATTTACGCAAATACTAATGTATTCAAAAAGAACCCATCCCCCCGTGTTGCTACCTGGAAGTTCTTCTCTTTGCGCTTCGCAGGACGGATCGGTTAGTGACGGACAGACAATATGATCCTCAGCAGAAGCGACCATCAGCATCCATGGAGAGGCGGGAGCTGAAGCTCCACAGTCGAGCTTACGTCTCCAGGCACGCCGCACGCTGCGTGACCTCTGACCTCAGCAGGTCACCATGTTTAACATTATGTGAAGCAGAAATAGAGGAAAGCTTCCAGAAATATGAACAAAGGCCAAATAGCAGGATTCTAAGATTACAGCTGGATTGTCTCTACGTCGGTCGGTGCCGTCCAATCAGAGGACGTCTCTGTCTTTAACCTTCTCTGTCTTTGAGGAAAACATGGATTCTGCACTTTGCCTAAAACACAAGAAGAAGAAAAACCAGGTCACCAAATATCCTGGAAATGTTCTGCAGAAAAATGTGCTTCAGAGGTTTTTACCTCATGCCATTTCAGCGTGGAGAGGGGCAGGGCCAGGTGGCAGTGCGGGCAGGTGCTGATCTGATCCGGGTCTCCGCCCACCTGGCTGTAGGTGGCCTTATAAGCGGCGCTCAGCTGATCCCTGTAGAAGTCCTCTTCCTCCTCCTCTTCCTCATCGTAGAGGAGCGGAGATGCTAAATAACAGAACCGCTGGAGGACAAACACAGAGAACCTCCTGAGTTCGTTCTTCCTTCATGTTTGTTGTTTTTACTGAGTAACCATGGAGACGCTCAAACGGAGGCGGCATGAAGCAGCTTCACGCCTCTTACTGCCTTTTTCAGACTAATCACATGCTGATAATACTCAAAATGTCGTTTTTTCACCAATAAAACATAAAGTAAAAAAGTTAAATCCTGTTAGACAAACTTTATCTGACCAAATTAAATTCATTGATAATTAAAGGAGAGTTTAGCACAGTCTAATTTTAGATTAAACTAAACGTGTTGCTTTGCCAACATGTCCGCCGTCACTGAACCTTCCTTCCAGGAGCACCGCCAGGAATTTGGGGCCCCAGGAAGGACGTTGATATTGGGCCCCCCACCAAAGAAAAAAAATTATGCAAGCTTCAAAACTGCTATAAAGATGCTTTAAAAAGCATCATTTACATTTTAAAATAAATTCTACTGTAATAAAAGGAAAATTATCCTCACACAAAAAAGTTACATATACATTAACTTTAAAATCATATGTAAACGGCCGTTCTAACAGTCGCATTTCCGGATTCTCCCGATAGGTGATTGGTCGATTATTAAAGGGGGCGGGATTGTTGAGGCGGAAGGTTCGCAAGCAGGTTTGGTTGTAGCCGGTTTGTCGGAAGCATCTTGCTAACCAGTTAGCAGCTTAGTGCTAGCAGGTTCCCAATGGGAAATTCCATTGGGACCAAGTAGCACTAAATTAGTGACTTAGCCTATGTGAACACTGCAGCCTGAAGTGGCCAAAATCCGATTTATTTGCCCATATCCGACCTGTATCCGATCATTTCATGGCTGTCTTAACAACACAGATCCGATTTTTCCAATGCGACCCAGGCTGCTTGGCTCTGTGGTCCTGAATCCGATACAAATCTGATCTTTTCAAATGGGACCTGCATCTGAATGGCCAGGTCGCATTTATCCGACCTGCACATTATTAATACCCGACAAAGGTCACTATTCTGCTCCTTGCTATGAAGAAGCAGCAAGAAAAACAACAACAATGGCGGACGATGATGCAGAGAACAGTATTTATGTTTAAGGAAAATTCCGGTTTTTAACACTTTTAGCCCATTTTCTGTAGTGTCCAGGATGAAATCGAATGATCGACACCAAAATTTTGACGATTGCTCCTGTCTCTGCTATTTGGCTCATG